AATTTCTGCAAAAGGCGGATCTACTAAATATTAATTTCATCTCTTTTTTTTTGTGGAGCCCAAATTTATTCATCTGCCTGATTTTGTTGAAACAATTCTTGCACACTTTCTGTAAATCCAATAAACTTCATTTCACTTCTCAAACATCACTGTGTGTCTCCTCTATGATATATTTAACTGACGCTTATATTTAACGATTTATACAGGAAAATAATGACTATGAACAAGGCCGCCCAAACTTTTGCATCCCACTGTAAATGAAAAACCTGCCAGGCACGGGGACAAGGTTCAAAGTCCCAACCTCAAATACTTTTTTATCTTTATTAAACTAAACTGTGATAATCAGCTATAAAAACAGTAAAATGTGTATTACACCTTTTTCTGGGTGTATTTGGCTGAACACAGACTGTGTCCTGAAATTGCACCTTGAATTTATAACGGCACAGAAATCTGCTATTGCTGCATACCTGTTTGTGAGAGTGCTGCACTCTGATTGGGCCACGTCTAAACACGTTATTTATAAAAATAACTTAAACTTAAGAAGATGGAAAAGTGGTATTTAGGGTAATGATCCTTTAACAAATCTGCAGACTTTTAGGTGAGTGCAAAGAACTGAAGAGTCACGTCACTGCTGCTATTACAGTGGATTATTTCCTGTGAAGCACTTTGTGAAACACTACATAAATACTGCCAGAGTTACTGCTCTTGAACGCACCACTTGTTTGACCTCTTCGGGGGAAATTTTCAGACTGCAGGGGTTGATCAGCTTGTTTTTCTCAGATTTCCTCAGAGGCAGCAGGCAGCGCTTCCCCTAAACGCAGCACAGGAGAGGACAGGACGGTCAGACCGTGGACTGTACTGCAGTGAGGATGATGAGGATGAGAATGATACCGCTTTCCGTCTGCGGGCATCGATCTGTCTGAAGTAGGCGGTGATGTAGACGTTGTCGAAACAAATGTCCCTGTTGTACTGCCAGAGGTACCCAAACGCCCTGCAGAGGAGAAAAGAAGATGGAGATAAAGGTGTGAATCTTAACGGGATGAAGGTGAAGGTGAGACTCTTACTGGGTGAAGATGGTGATGAAGGTTAAGGAGAGGAGCATCTGCAGGATGTTCAGCACCCGTCCCGTCGTTGATGTCAGTTTCTGGAAGGATGTTTTGACAGCGTTGGTGAACTGTTGGTCCAGCAGAGCTTCGCTCAGCGCCGGCTGCTCCTCCTCCTGCGAGACGACACGCAGGTTACATTTCAGCCGACTCTGGGTTCGTCCTGAGGGTGGTGCTGGAGGACCGGCGGTGCAGGTCTGACCTCTACGGTGAGCTCGGCGCTGAACTCTCTGGACAGCAGGTCAACCGAAACATTCAGCCGGTCGAAGAGTTGACCAAAGTTTCCCTCCACGGGAATGTTGTCCCTGCACCACGGAGTCATGACTGACGGGAGGAGGAGAAGAACTAAAGATCACAGCAGCTGCCTTTTCAGCACCACAGAAGAGTCACCAAAACACCAAGACTATCAACCCTGAAATAATAACTCGAAAATAATCTGCCGTTTACGTTTGAGGACACTTGAGTACGATATACCGCTCAGAACACTGAAGCCTATGTTTGCACACCTTCAAATTTAAAGGTGCTTTTTGCAAAACCTTTAACTAAATTTAATAAAAACTTCCACCACAAGATGGCAGCGTTTACCAGAAAGGTTTAGTGTAGTCGTTTCTTTACTATTTAAAAATATAACTGCTCGTTTTTACTCTTCGAGCTCCCAGAACAAGTCGCTAAATATTACTGTGAATTCTGTACAAATGTCAAACTAGCACCGAGCTAACAATAATAGTGCTGTCATGCTGTGTTGTGATTGGATGCTAAACTCAGTGTCACCTTGTGGCTCAAAGTGGTATTACACCAAAGCGCCGGAGCCCAACTTCAGTTTTATTTTTTAAAGCAAAGACTTTCTGGTGACAGTTTAAATGTATTCTGATGCTGATGTTTGTAGAAATGTCTGACTGGAAAGAGTAGAGACCGCGGGGTCAGCTGGATGTGGATATTTCATAACGCCGTGGTACGTATAACCTTTTACCTTTCATGATGTCACACAGGAAGTGAAACTTCATTGAAATGCAGAGGATGTAGTTGATGACGGGGACGGGGATCGCCTCCAAACACGCCGTCCACCTGTTGGCAAACCAATCGACGCACCGCTGCACGCCCTGAGCCACCACACCTGGGGATCAAACCACGCGCGAGTTCTCATCTTTAAATGACGTTTGTGAAGCAGGTGTGAAATCATTTTGAATCACATTAGTGACGACATTTAAAGCGATTGTTTTCTCGTATTGGTGACACGAGGATGATGATCAACAGTTTCCTTCTGTATTGCGTTTCCTGCCTGAAACCTTTGAACTTCACGTCTGGTGTTTCTGGTGTTTCTGACTTACTGTCGCACTGCTTTAGGGTCTTGGCGGTGAACTCCTCCTGGGTGCTGTTACCGCCGCCCTGTTTAGATTCGAATCGGTCGTATCCGTACTGAAGGACCATCTCGTCTCTGATGTCCTGAAACTTCTTGCTGACATTTAAAGCCTCCAACTCAAAACCTTCTTTATCATCCTGGAAGAGAAGCAAAAGATCTGAGGCCCCTCAGCTTCATGTTCATGGCAGTAGGTAGGGTGATAATTATTATTATGTTAAACTAGAGGAGCTTTGAAACATATTCCTCTCACCATGAGCTCCTGTGTGATGATCAAAAATGGCTTGATGGCTTCTCTCCACAGTAGCTTGCTGTGACGGACCTGCAGGTCCAGGTTGCAGCTCACAGACACGGCGGCGGCCTCCACGTTACGCTGGATGTTTGAAACTGGGCCTGCAGAAGGGACGCAGCATCACATGACACAAAACTCACCTGAAGACATGTTAAGCAGACCCATTCAGCCGCTGAGGTAACCAATCGTATCTGCATGTTGTATTATGTATTTAGTAAAAGATTTAATCAGCCACAGACAGACTGGGTCCAGTGAGGCCTGTGGACCCAGTCTGTCTGACTGTCTCAGTGCACTTCAATGTTGGACGACTCAGACTCATAAATGTTCCTGTGCAGGCTCACAGGATCAGTGACGTCCTTTAAAGCAGCGGTCTCCAACCTTTTTTGTGCCACGGCAATATTTTCACGGACCGGCCTTTAAGGTGTCGCGGATAAATACAACAAAATAAAACCGGTACCGAAAAAAAGAAGATTTATTCATAACACACATGAAAGACCCAGGAAAACAGAGTTAAGGATAAAAACGATAACAAAATAACACTGAAAACCGATAAAAACCCTGAAAACCAGACATTTCACACCTGAGCCTCAACTCTCGCGGCCCGGTACCAAACAACTCACGGACCGGTACCGGTCCGAGGCCCGGGGGTTGGGCACCGCTGCTTTAAACACGTTCCAACACTCGCTTTTATGTCACTCCATCACATGGGAGGTCTTTGTAGTCTTTGACATTGTAGCTGTTAATTCATTCATATGTATTTAGTATTCATTCATCCTAAGTGGTCGAAATGAAGGTTTTTGGTTCATGAGGATGAAACATTTCACCTCTCAACAAAGAAGCTTCTCATCTTTAAAACTGAAGAGTGAAACGTCTTCACGAACCAAAAGGAAGTGCAGCCGGCCTCAGCCTGAGCCCTCGGGACGACGCACACATTGATTGTTGCTGTTGGTGTCGTCTGAACTCTTTAACACTGATCAGTATATCAGCCTATCCCAAAGTCACACGGGAGCAGGTCTGTGTGACTTCAGACAGAACTGACCTCCGCTGGTTTGATTGCTGCACTTTGTTTTTAACAGTGTTTAATGTTTGCTGATAAAGTGTTATTAAATCTGTCCTGCTGATCAATATTTTGCTGACATGAAACAGTGGAGCTTGTAGAAAAGTTATTTGTGGGTTTTATGTTTTTTTCTAAATGACGCATCAATGATTTGGTTTCAGGGATTCTCACCAAACACACGAGCGAGGGGAGCAGACTGAAGACAGTTTGGACATCTGTGCTTTCACAGGTACAGACGAGAGGAGTGGATCCTCCCTCCATCTCCTTCTGAGCTCATTATGTTTGTTTTTTCAGTTAAAAAGCCAAATATGTGCCGATTCCTGCAGATTCATGAAACTTTGGACTCACTGGACACGAGAATGTTTCTGATACGACTCCACGAAAAAGATGACGGCACTGACCGTGACGGCCACACTGTGAGCCGTGTGCACACTCTGCACAGGCGTCTGTTTACCTGCGTACAGCACAGACAGGGCCAGCAGGATCAGGTAGGAGCGGCCACGGGAGCCGAGCATGCTGGGAAACACGAGGAGGACCGAACACCTGAAGGACGAAGACAGGAGTCCGCCTGCGAGACACACAGCTGAAACACACACTCGGTCAGATCTCCACGTGTTTCAAACGTGCTTCAAAGAACAGATGTGAGTGTGCGACCTCGCCTCACCAACAAACAAACATCCTACTGCCACCTTCAGGTCAAAGGTCAGCGGGAGGTTGTGGGCAATGCCCAGGAACAAGACTGATGGTCAGACGAACAACAACAGGAGTCAAACATCACATCGGCTTTTTTCTAACAACCTTTCAGAATAATAAAAACAGCTGGAAAGTAAAAGAAGAGCTTTGCATTCGTTATATTTATAGTAACAAATGATAAAATCACACAATATTAAAAATAAAGACAACAACAATGTGACTAAGTCATAATAACATCAGCTAGTATATTACAGTGAATGAAATTATTTAATGAGAGGCTGATTCTGTGCGCGCTCCTGTTTCCTCCGAACAGCTCATCGGCCCCAAAATGAGCGCAGCTCTGCGGCGTCTTTTCGCTCTGATGCCCGCGCTGGTTTCCAACATGTGAGGATCGAAGCTCAGAGATGAACCGCCCAGGTGTGTCGCTGGAGGTGTTACCTGTGCCGGTCGCTACTCCATACAGCGCCCTGAAGAGCGGGCGAGCCACCGGAAACTCCTCTGATTGGCTGAAGAGGAACCGATGGACAACTGGAGGCAGGATGGTCTGAACGCACCTGTGCGCCGCTGTAAGGAAGCACAAACACCTGGAAACAGGTTTTGACCGTCGGCTGGCAGCCTCAGGGCTGATCAGCTCCACCACCTGAGTTTTGAGTTGTTGTGGGTGAACTCACAGCTGTGACGTGTCCCGGTGTCAGCCATCATTCACCACAAATCGCTCCTCTAACCTGCGTTCAAGCGCACACCGCTTACAAACGTATCGTCGTTTGACTGTTGGAGCTTCTGTTAGCTTCGGCCTGTCACGTGATGTGTCTCTGGTTTCCAGGTGACGCGGAAACGTTTCCCCTGGTGTAAAAGATGAAGATGAGGAGTGAAGAAAGGAAACAGCTCCTGATGAAAAGTGACATCTCAGTCCAGGTGAAGAGGGGCGGAGTCACAGAGACTATCCGAGGAGCTCTGAGCAGGTAGAGGGACCAGATTCACCTGAGTGCTAACTGTTAGCTTTTGAGCTAACACATTCTCATTTA